GCAGAGGCAGCCTTGTCTTTCGTAAGGCTTGGTAGGAACGCTCTACGAACTGTAACGGGACTCGTCACGGGTCACTGTAAGGTAAACAAGCATCTTTATAACCTTAAGCTTGCTGTTAGTCCTCTCTGTCGCCTCTGTAAAGAGAGCGAGGAGACGGTCCGACACATCTTGTGTGAATGCCCCACTCTGCAAGACCTCAGAATGAGAGACTTCGGAGAGGAATGGCCGACCACAGATGGCATCAGGAACACACCTCTGAGCTGTATCCTAGCCTTCGGAAATTCCTTAGACTGGTTGATGTAGCCGGAGAGAGTGTAGGACGACGTACAAGAGGCCCGTTGGGGCCTAGGTGCTGTATGCGGAAGCATACCCTCCGGTTTCCTACATACATACAAGGCCGCCTTTACCAACTTTTTCCGTAGAAACTGGTGGAAACAACCTGTCAGTTATCTCGGGATTTCCCCCAGTACTTAACTTAAAACCAGCTAGAACAACTCTTAAAATTGTTCAAACTATTGAAAAAATTTCTCTAAAAATTAATATTATCTTTAAACTGGTAGAAACAACCGGTTTTTACGAAAAACGTATATTGTTTTCATACAATAAAATTTAATTTGTTAATTAAAAAAGAAATACTAAACAATTTTTATTATCAGTACAAGAAAATAAAAGAGGGGGAAATTAAATCAAAAATAGTGCTGAAATCCACCCATAGCGGACAAATCCAAAAATAACACTTGACGCGTTACCAATTTTTACTTAGCGGTTAGCAGTCTGGTATAAAATAGTCAATGCTATAACTTCAGCAGAAACGTTTCTAGTGGTTTATATGTCTATGATTTCTGTCGGCTAACCAGAATAAAGTTATGAAGGTCTAGTTAGTCCTCTCGACAAACCGATGTCGCGCATGGACTGTGGTGTAGTCAATTTGTAATTAAGAGTTTATTCTTTTGTAAAAAAGTGTAATTATTTCAGAAATTTGGGGGGGTGACATGGCTCCTCCCTGCCCCTCTCTAGCTACTCCCATGACGGTTGTATAATAGTATATTAAAAAACAAGTTTCGTAAGACACGCTGGAAATGGACGAATTCAAGTTGAAGTTGTTTTTAATGAATGAGTGCTTTAAGTCTTATGAAACGTATTTTTATGCTATTTTTTGTAATTCGCGTTTTTATACTTTTTTTTAACAAAAATAAAGTAAATTTTGGCAATGTAGGGAAATAGGTATGTAGCAGTTGGTAACACCGGAACACTTGAGAATAGAAACTTTGAATTGACAATTAGAAAACACAAAAATATATTCACTTGAAAAAAATGTTTGATGTACACCTCCCAAAATAAGATAAATTGCTCAGAGTCAATGTCCTCATCATTGTGGCCTTGTATTCGATGTTAAGAACGTGTTTAAACATCCATAGACAAAAATTGTCACATTGACAACTAGAAAAATTAATGACCCAATGTCACCAACTTGAACTGGTTCCATAAAATGTTACTAAAATCTCATTACAGCATCGGATGCTGTAAGGAGTCTCATTTTGTTTGAGTACTGTTATAGCTTCCATTACCGTAGCGAATTACAAAAACAAATTTAATGCTATTCACAATATGATAAAATATATAGGTGTTCCATTTAAAAAAATCTACGTACTCTCCGTTACGCCTAAATGGAACATCCTGTATAAGGGAAAATAATTTTACGCAATAGAAAGTGGTGAGTCAAACAACTTTTGTATAAAACATTTTTTTGTTTCTCAAATGGTTTAGCAACTATCGTCCGCCGGGATACTAATACCTCACCCTGTATAAAATAAATCAAGCATAAGTAAATTGCCAAAATCATGAATAAGAAACGTCAAATTTGACATTTAAATAAATTTAATTTGATTCCAATAGATGACGCTCTCCTTGGACTAAAAATCCAAATAATCAAGATATCATTAAATTTATATTATATTATTTAATAATAAGGCAGAGGTAATAAGAAATTAATAACTTATAACTTTAATTCAATACAATTCTAGAGATGTTATTAATATAGTAATAATTCACTTTTTCCTTTTCACAATTTTCATTTTTAATTTTTTTATATATTTAGAATAAACTAAACATTTCTTATTTTAACCACTTTTGGAGTTTTGTTATCTAAAAAAAATTAAAATAATATAATTTCACATTAAATTAACACAACTCAATTATGAATTTACAGATGCCGTTGTTATCTTATCGTTCAACTCGACACAAGACAAACAATAAACTTGTTGAGGACGTTTTTTATTCGTAACAAATTACGTCAATGCGTAGGGAATGAGTGGTTTAATTGTTATTTATTTTTTACGATTAATTGTTAATTATTCTAGAACTTATAAATAGAACTGCGCCGAAGCACGGTGTGGCTCGGCGACGACGCTGTCGGCCTCTACAACACGTAATCGAAACCCCACTTTTTAATGGCGAACACCAGAGTGCAAACGTGTGACATCTAGAATTTTCTATTCTCGTTGCTTTCATTCGGTTTATTTCCCCTCCCGGATATAATTTCACATATCGTTTCTTTGAAGAACCGATTTCCCTTCCGTGTCAATTTAGTGCACGAAGAACGAAGAGTTTTCGGATTATTTGTGGCCACGCGGTGACGGTAAGAAAAAGAAACTTGTCAGAAAAATCTAGATTACAACCGGACGTGTACATATTACAATATGTTAATTATTGAAAATAATCTAAAGAATACATAATGTATACAATCACTTATACCGTAGTTTATCAATTTTATCCACCTCTTTCATTTTTAATTTTATTATTAGCCCTTTAATCCGTCATCATTGTAAAAGTGAACTTTGCTTCACCACACACAGTGCTATTATTATTTATTTTCTTTTTCTTCTTCCGTTACAGATTTTCAGTTGAAGACCTCATCGTCGTTCTACACGTATTTTGTATACGTTTTTAATTTTTGTTTTCTCGCCGGAGACCAAATCGTCGTCCTTGCGGGCGCAAACGTTTTATATGACTTTAGTAAAATACAAAGGTAAGTTAATCTATTACTAAAACATTATGTAATAATGTTATAATTATAAGAAAATAACTGAATAATGAATAAATTAATATTTCATTTAATAATAGATAGTTTTAAATTATCTATCTGTCATTTAATACTTCTATTATGTCATATGTCACTGCTACCAACTCAAAGTTTATTAAATTGAGTGTTTAACACAAAATCTTATCAATTCCTTAATTTTTATTAGATAATTTTAATGTTTTGTTTATCAATTTTAACGTTATAAGTATTTTTGTGAATAACAAAATTTATGAATGTTACATGGAAAATTTCTATATCTTAATCTAGATTACTAAGTTGTTAATAATGATGTTTATTCACGCGAAAAAATGCCTTTTAATCACTTTTGTAATTAGATATACTGGTATTTTCCTTATCTTTAAAATGATATTGTTACCACAGTGTCAACAACAAACCTATTTCCTTTCACATTTTATTCTCCACTTATATTGTGTAACCTAGATAAAGATATGATTGTGAAAAGTATTAATGTCACTTGAAGAAATAATTTTTTTGAATATGGTTTAAATTTGTGACCTAAATAAGGAGTTTTAGCTTAAAAAGCTTAACTTTTTATGCTTGTTACAGAAACTTTAACCTGTATTGATGCTTAAATTCATATTTTTGAGGTAAACATATAGGTGTTATTTAATATTATTAGAATTTTAGATGTGACTTAAAAAGGTTTTTTCTGAAACTGTTTAGGATAATAAAACGAAACTTTTTAAAATTACCAGGGTCCCCAAACGTTTTGATTATACAAATGTTGCACTTAAAACTCCCAGACCAAGTATTTCTAGAATGGGTATCTTAGTTTTGTCAGAAGTTATTATTAAGAGTATGTAAATGACTTCAGTACTTGAGTAAATATTATTTTTCATTGTAAAAAATAAAGGTGGCGTTGCAGTCAAAAGAAACTTTCCCTTCATTTTTATTAGGTGCAAGAGTATAAAAAACTGTGCAACTTTCCTGTTTAAAATTGATTTGAAAAACTTAGTAGTTTCGATAATTAGTATTAATACTGAGAGAATATTATTTATACAGGTGTCAGATAAAAAACGCCCCAAGCTGTAACTCTGTCATTTACATTCCGATTTTCATGCTACAAATAAATTTTTTCCAAGGCCATCTTCAGTTCTAAGCAGTTATTAGCTTTTGTTTTTGAATTTGCTCCATATAGTTTTCTTCACGTCATAGGATAGGGATTGTTTTTCTGAATCCATTGTTTTGCAATACATCCATTTTGAATGTAATTTTAGCAGAAAAAAGACACCTGTATATACAGGTTGTCACACAAGAACGCCGCAAGCTGTAACTCTGTCATTTACTTTTCGATTTTTATGAGAGAGGTATCAAATGAAATGGTACAATGATTCATGCTACAAATAAACTTTTTCCAACGCCATCTTCAATTTTAAGCGATTATCAACTTTTGATTTTCAAATTGCTGGGTATGTTTTTCTTTACGTTATTGGATAGAGATTTTTTTTCTGAACTCAGCGCTGAACAATACATTAACATTAATTGTAATTTTAGCAAAAAAAACAATTAAAACATTTTTCGAACATCTTAGTCACTTCTGTAATACTGTAGTGCAAGGGCGTCGCCAGAGAGGGGCAGAGGGGGGCCACTGCCGCCCCCCCTAGAAGTAGATTCGAAAAAAAAATTAAAACACAATAAATATACATCTCGAGTACTGAACAACTATCGAATGAGATATGCCATATTTTGATCTGGAAACCAAGGAAGTTCAAGAAATATTCCTCGGATTCGTCAAACTTGATGCTTTGGATGCGAAATATATTGCAAAAGCAATAGATGAGTTTTCGGCAGAAGAAGATCTTGATACGGACAAATGTGTTGGTTTAGGATTTGACGGTTGTTCGACGATGTCCGGGAAAGAAGGTGTGCAAGCAATCCTACACAGAAAATATAAAAAAGCTTTGTGCTTTCATCAAAGGACATTTTCAAAGATATTAAAGATATTACATTTTTTCAAAAATCAGTTTTGAGACGCAAATTGATACCAAATATTTCCAAGCTTTGCGAAACAAGGTGGAGCGAGAAACAGAAAAATATTAGTGTTTTTAATGAGAATTTTCCTATTATAATGGAGGCCTTTGAAACCTCGTCACGGGAAGAAAATAAGAATAAATAATGCGACTAGAAAAAATACTTATCAGCTCCATGCAGCAACTTCTAGAGTTTCGTTTATTCTCAGCTTTATTTTGATAGCCAAATACTCGGCTATGATGGAACCTGTGGTAAACGTGCTCCAATCCGTAGCTTTGAATGCAGTTAAGGCATCCCAGCACATTAGCCGCCTTTTGGAATTTATAGAAAACCACCGTAACGGTCCAGAAAACGTCACAAATGGAATTATTAGGGACGCTACTATCGTTGCAGAAAAACTTGGACTGGGAGAAGACATGAAGTCCTTGCCCCGTATTGTTGAGAGACAACAACATCAGAACAACCACCCAGCAGCAAGCCCCTCAGAATTCTGGCGGAGGTCTTTAATAATACCATACTTAGACTCGATTATTAATTCTTTTGAAGTTCGCTTTTCTGAAGAAAACACCCCGTCATTTTCCTTATCTAAATTACACCCAGCTCAAATGTTAGACATGTCCCTTGAAGACCTCGTAGAAGCTGGTGAAGTCTTTTCCCAATTTTACAATTTATCAAATATCAACAACGAAATCGAACTATGGAAAAAACTATGGCAAGATAAACCTGACTCAAAAGAATTAAGTGTTGTGGATGTCATAAAAGATGCCGACATTTTTTTCCCTGAAACGAGAAAAGCCTTTATTATTTTGGTCACTTTACACCTGCACGACATATACTGTTGAACGATCTTTTAGCGGCTTGAGGACAATAAAACCTGGCTTAGAAGCACTATGGCAGAATGTCGTCTCAATGGTCTTCCCATGATGAATGTGTATAGGAAGCATATTTTTGAAAACTTTGAGGGTTTTATTAATAATCTGGTTGTCCAATTCGCGAAGAAGCCACGAAAATTATGTTTTAAATAATTTGGTGTTATTTTTCAATTTTTTTGTCGTGTCCCCCACAGGCTGGCGACGCCCTTGTTGTAGTGTGCCATGGAAAGAAATAACGTGCAAAACCGATAACAGTCATTAAATTATATTTCAATGCCTGAAGCTGTTGTAAATGATTATTTTTTCCCATGGCACACTACAGTATAACACAAGCGACTTTAAGAGAATGTTCGGAAACTATTTTAATGTTTTTCTGTATTACAATTACAATTAATGTTGATGTATTGTACATTAATGGATTTAGAAAAAAATCTTTATCCAATAACGTGAAGAAAAACATACCGAGCAATTTGAGAATCAAAAGTTAATAATCGCTTGAAATTGTTCTTCGTTGGAAAAAGGATTATTTTATAAAGTTTATTTGTAGCATGAATCATAGTATTTGTGAAACCTTTTCGTTTGATACCTCGCTCATGAAAATCGGAATGTAAATGACAGAGTTACAGCTTGGGGCGTTTTTTATCTGACACCCTGTATGATAATATGCTAATAGAATTGAAATGGTTATGACGTGTGTTGCATGGAAAATTTATATGGGGTGTCCCAAATTCGCATAGGCTATCTTCGAAACTAAAAGAGATAGAGAAAAAGTAGCTTACATGTCATGATCTCGTTTTTCGAGAAATTGCCGAAGACTCCGAACAGCTATCGTCTTTTGTTTTCGCCCGATCGACAAAAACTGAAAAATTTGCGAAAACGACAAACGCGAATATCTCACTTATTACCAAAGATGGAGTATTATAAATAAAACATTATAGTATAGGCAAATTTTTATGAGAATTTCTCACTCTTTAAGCAACTTTGTATTTTTTTTAAATGGAAACCATGGTTGGCGATGATCTAAAATAATTTGTTATTTCTTTTTTATAATAAATCTATAGTTTGTTGGGTATATTTCTTATAGTTATTGAATAATTAACAAAAATTCTTTTTATGCTGTCTAAAATCAAGGACAGTAGAATCTAACAGGACTGCTACATCCATTGTTGTTTTGTAGCCCACTACGTGTTGGTTGCCCGCACTCTACGTCACGCTATTCGCCACGCCCAGTTATCTGTCATTGAGTTCTATGTGTTTCTATAAGGTTATATGATAGATATTAATACGTCTATTAATATGAATACGTCTACTATATAACCTAAAGACCTATAATAACCTCTAAGGATACACAGCAAACGCATAGAACACAATAACAGCTGACTGCGCGTGGTTAATGGTGAGACGTAGTGTGGGTAGTGTGTGGGCTCGTTATCACAACAATGGATGTAGCAGTCCTGTTAGATTCTACTGTCCTTGGTCTAAAACGAATGTATGTATTTAAAAGTTAATGTTGCTATGATGATAACCATACATATTATGATGGAAAAGAATGTGTAATAATTGCCGAAGTGTATTTAAAAATTCGCTAACAACTCTAGCATTATGTGCTGGTGCTCCATCATGTAGAGTGTCAAAGTATAACAAAACTGAATAAAACTTTACAACGAATTTCGAAAATTAAGAAAAATGTAACATGATGGAATGCTATATGTTATCAAATAAGAATACCTGGAAAGAATACAACCGCGTGCAAAAACCTTCAGATGGTTAGCGGAAAATTTAATGGATTTTTGGTCCTCAACGAAACCACGTGCAAAAACATAGCAAAATGACCTGCAAGAGGATGAAGTCAATGTGTTGGCTTCAGTTGCGATAAATCCATCAATATCTTACCGAGAAATTGAACAAGACGTCTGACCCAAAAGCCGCTGCTCTCGAATATTAAATAAAGTATAAACCATACAAATCGCGGGTAACTCATCATTTACGTGCCGGATATATCAATAAGATTGGAATTTTGTCGAAGATATTTAGAAAAATTAAATAATCTGCTTTTTCTTCAAAATATCATCTGGACCGATG